GGAGACAAGGAACAAGAGGGACGTGCCTATCGATATCTTGGCTCAGCTTTTCACAGACTGGGTGATTATTATCAAGGCGGGGGTAGGTGGGCAGATACTGATGTTGATCCAAATCTGCTAAGGACGACTGATCCCCTTTCCCTTTCCACTGATAACCATGTGATCATGCCCCAAGTTTCTCCGAACCCCCTCCCTCTTAGACGAAAAATAATGGTCGGTTCCTCGTGTCATGGGTGACTGAAAATATGCCCACGGAAAATGGGAAAATGCATTTGAGGAATCACAAGCACATTTTTTTATTTGGACTTTATTTGAAAAATGTAAAACTCGTTGAGCTGAGATTCAAGACCCTCTTCTTTTGAGAGAGCAAAGGAAACCTTCATACTAGTGGATAGTAATAAATTTCATCGGCTGTGCCCTCGGTTCACTGAATTTGAACCATCATTTCCACATTCTTCACGGACTAAATGCCGCCACAAAGCTATTTGAATGTTCTATTGGTGGACATGACGCAAATGCAGCAAAGTTGAAATGCCTCACTTGTCTTGCGGAAGCGACCTATGAGAGTTTCTCCCGGAGCAGGTTCCACTTGTTTAATCTGTAAGTGGAAAAGACACCGTCCTTAATTCGTCTTCGTCTTCGACAATCTTGTAGCCGAGAAGATTCATAACCTCGTAACATTCCGTCTCAATTAGGCGCACGATTGAATAAGGGACGTGCGCACGCCATTTTGTTACGGAGTCAGTCAGATTTTGCGCACTGTAGGAAAGCCGACGATAAATTGATTTAACGGGTGATGGGGGTACAAATCCTTCGCGCAAAGTACGGTCGATCCACAAGCGGACATTCTGTGCAATACCGACCCCAACAAACTGATACAATTGTTCAGCTATTTGATGCGGGTTTGTCGCCAAGTCCTCGTATCGTAGCAGCGTATAACGTCCTTGTAACCAAGCTGGGGCACTGACAGCGTATTTTATATTACGCAGCATGTCGCGACATAACGATTGCGCGTGATCACGCACCGATTTTATGGTCCAATTTTCGTGTGAACTGTGTAGAACGCGCGCATTTACAACGGCGCGCGGATCCCTCACTAAATGAATCACTTTGAGCGAGTAATCGACAGGGCCTGTGTTGTCCATGAGATAGGAGAGTTTGTGAATGGATTTCATTCGGATTGTTTTGACAACGGTGTGTTTATGTAGTCGACAAATCGCCGACGCTGATTGTGGCCTTAATGGCGCACATTTTCGGATGCTAAAGTGTGGAGTGTTTATATTCTCGGGGCATAAGGGGGGTGAAGAGATGGCTCGACTTGAAAGGCGATGTCGAAGTGCACTGTATTGGTACGATAAAAAATCCGTAAAGTACGAAAGTTCCAGAAAGTTACAATGAAAAATGCTGTTGAGAAGATGAGTTACCATTGCATCGTAAACGCTCTCGGGGCGATTGTCCTTATAATAATCCAAAGATTCCAAAGGTTCAAAAAGGTAAAAAATATTAGGATGCTGATTCAGAAGTTCTCCTAAGAGAGAGCTTCCGGAAGCGGAGTCCGAGATGATAAGAATATTCTGTCGCAGTTTACTCCCGTATTTACTTGCTAGTGAATCAAGTTCCATGAATTTGTTTAATCTCTCGTACATTGCGAGCTTCTTACGCAATGCGTCGATTTCTTTGTACAACTTGGAGCAGTTCGTGTCTTGTTCGAAATTTTTATCTGCGTTCTTTGTATTATCTTTTGCCGAGCCATCTTTGTCGTTGCATCCGTCGTGATCTGGAATAAACGTCTTGAATTCGTCCATCTTGGAGGCACTTTGAAGTTGCCGATTTTTGAGACACATCGCATCGGAATCTTCGTTTCTCGTGAGGAAGAGAATGGCACACATTAAAAAAAAGGCGACCAGCAAAAGGGAAGGCGAAATTACTCTTCTTAAAAAAATTCTCTGGAGAGAACGAAGCATTCTCTTGAAATCCTGCGAATTGGGTTGCGCCGCACCATTTCAAGCAACTGCCTGCTTCATGCTTTTGAAATCCTCCTTACAAGTAATTCGTGAAAGGCCTCTGGTAACGGCCTTCCATTCACTAGCGACAAATCGCTTTTAAACAACAGTAGGTCTCCCGTGGAAAATTCATTCATCGTGTTCTTGACTCTTCGTGAAATATCAATGTTAGCTTGTAACACTGTGCCTGGCACCCGCTTTCGCCAGTCAACCTTTAGTCCACCCGTCAGGTTTCACATTTTTGTTCTGACCATATATGGAGAGAATAAATTATTGAAGTGACTTTGTTTAGCAATGCTCTCTGAAGCGGTGAAGCGTTGGACATTTCTGCGGATAGTTTTTCATAACCCAAAAAATAACAGATTCAAACTTTTCCTTGTTTTAATTAACGTTGCCATTTCTAGCGAAAAAAGTGCAAGGTTTGGCAGAGGTTCAGAGCAAAAGTGGATTTTGAGTGAAATCTAAATATTTTTACCTGTTTTATTACCCTGTTTGGTACCTGTTTTTTCTGCTCAAATTTTTCTCTCAATTTTCTTAGTACAACGTCATCAGTTCGACTTCTAAAGATTCCTGCAACTTTGAACCATCGTGGGATTCTGAACAAGTTGTTTTATGAACGATTACTGACTCATCAAATAACTCCCCAGCCCCTAATTAAATTTCAATTTTTAGCTCCGGATCACTGCTTTTGAAAAAAACAAACATTTCGCCTTACAAAAACAGTCTGTTGAAATTATGAAAGAAAGTAACTTTTCATTGGAAACACCGTCAGTAGACCAATCTTTGGTTTCTGAGCAGGTTTGGCTGGTTTGTACGGACGCAAGAAAAAAATCATAACAGGTTTGATTTAACAAAATTTCATATGAGGCCAGGAACAAGGGAAAAAAAAAAAACAGAGAAAAGGAAAAGTAAGCGACAAGTAGAAGCATACAGCCCTTCGATGACCTCTCTCATCCCCAGGAACCATCGGTTCCTTTAGCGAGCAAACCCAACCGGTTAATAGAACTGATGGGCTCTGGGGACGAGCCTGTGTACCAAGCCATTCCAACTTAGATGCCACCTGCAAATGAAACCTAAAAGAAACCTGGGAGCAATACTTTTTTGCGATTTCGCTGATGTACTTGAAACAAATTTACGAATGTCATCCTTTGTGTCAGTTCAGCGGTGTGAGTAAACCGCTGACCGAGAAACTAGCTGAGATTCAATAAGCTTGCAAAATTGAGGAGTTGTCTGCGGTTCAATTTTTGGGGAGTTTCACTGGAGGCATGACTCAGCGACATCTAAAATAATCTACACGAGTGAAAGACGGAATCCATGATCATTAGGTACCCCTTATTGAGAATTCGACATAACTTGGGTTAATTTTCTGTTCCACGATAAAAAAAAAAGTGGGTTCAATATTAGTAATATCTGCTTTTTTTGAGGACAACTTTTCACCACACCACATTTTCGATGAGCTCGTTAATATTCAGAAGTCCCATCATACACTTCACTCGAATGATCGCAGCATGCTGGCAAGGACTCTTGGGATTGCCGACGATTCGGCTTCGTTGCTCATAGCAGGAGAAAGATGTCTTTAGCAAGGTATTTCCTATCAGCTTTTTCATTTTTAAAAGAAAATATTCTGTAGATTTTGCTAACAAAACTGACGTTTACTATTTCAGTCTCCTTCCAGCACCGCTGCATGTGCCTTATCGCGAAAGAGATGAAGACGATGACTTAGAGAAAGCTTACAAAGAGGTGAGCGTTCTGTGTAGTCGGCCATGTTTGATTTGACCTGTTGTTCGATCGCGAGGTTTATTATGATTTTTACTCGGTCGATCTTTGTTTAGTTAAAGGTAACAGCTTTTAAGAAAGAGCCTCCTCCATATGGAAAAAGACAGGGCTGGATTCCAAGAAAGTTGGAGGTTTGTTGATGATAACGCTCAGAAATTTAAAATTGCCATGCAAATCAAGGTTACACCGCCTGTGATATACAGACTGTAATTATGGACCACCTTATCACCTTTTAGTTGTGTTCTATGTGGTTTTATAAATTTATATGCTGCTGAGTTTTTTTCTTACATAGAAGATTCTTGTTGTTATCACATGAGACTCTTGATAATAACATACATCTTGACATGGCAGCTTCAACAACAATCACGTTCCTCTATTTCAGTCATAGTCACATGTTTTCTTTCGTAAACGTTGCATTTCAGAAGAATGTGGCATATCATAGAAAAAAATAAGCTATATTTTGCATGGAAGGAATGTAAAGTTTAAGTGCTTACGTAGCCATTTTCAAATTACAGAAAAGGCTTGCCCTCTCATTGATATTAAGCCTTAATTGTTTAAATGTTTGCAGACATTGAAGTATTTGCACTGTAATTTTTGGTGAAATATAAGGATAAACTTTTGAATGATTTCATGCTATTGGTACAATGTGGAAGAATTCCTTTTTGCCATTATTACAATCACTTTGATTTGAAAAAATATGAAGGCAGCGAAGCTACATGTTCAAACTAGCAACGTAGCTTGAGAATGATCATTCTGAAATTTTCTTCCTCTGAATGCACTCTTACAGATATACAGGTTCATGCACATAAGATATCAGGATAATTAACAGCTATTCACTGAAGTGCCAGTGGCTAGTGGTGATTCTTTACTGAGAACTAGGCTAGGCTAGCCACTGACACTGCTGTGAATAGTTGTTGGAATGATACAGTACAAAAGGATAATTTCAACACTTGCAAATACTACACTTGGCCCTGGATGTGAATAGTAAAGAATATTTGGAGTTAAAGTAGCCAATCAGAGCATGTCTTTAACACTGTCCACTGTTTTGATGTATGGCAAAATATATTGTCAAACTTGAAATTGTTTAACATACTGTTATGTTGATCGTTTTTGTTCTTCAGGACTTTGGTGATGGTGGTGCTTTTCCTGAAATTCATGTGGCACAGTATCCTCACATGTATTTTTTTGCTCTAGAGAGCACAATAAGCAGTGTTTTGGCTAATCATCTTCATTATGAGATTTTGTTTGAGGAGAGTTACTATAAAGATATTTTAACAGAACTTGTGGCCTTTTTCTGTACTAGACAATGGATTGGTTGGTCTGTGTTCAAGGTGTGACTGGATCATTTTGTAACTTTAGCCTTACAGTGTCTCTCTCCAACCATGAATATAAATGAGAACTAGCCAGAGGCTTCAATATTTATATTTTTTTGAATGTGTATTTAATTAACTTGCTATGGTCTAAGTAAAAGGTTTGATTATGTTTGACCAAAACTTTTCTTAACAAGAATCTTTCAGGTATCCTCTGGACATGGGGCGAACAAAAAAGGTCAGATATGTTGTCTTTAAAGGGATAAGAGTGTTATGTGAATTATGTTTTTCTTAGCCTTTGGAACTCTCACTTCTGATGTTTTATGACTTTGTGTTTATTGTATGTTACAGCCTGCTTCAGGAACAAATGCTCTACCAGTGCAGCTTGATTCAAAAGGCAGAGTGAAGTATGATGCTCTTGTTAAACAGGGACATGGCAAAGATAAGGTAACAAAACCTGGTTATGGTTGAAAGGAGAAATAAGAGTTAGAGACAATATCATTTTTACATGAACCCCTCCCAGCAACTCTTTGACACCTAAAAATGACTAGCATCTAATTTTTCATCACAATATCAGACCTGTCACGAAAGAACAATGAACCGACGCCATTTATTCTATTCCTTGCAATGACTGTGACAACGAATACATTGGACAGACTAAACATCAGTTTGGTACATGGTTAAAAGAGCACCAAAAAGCAGTTTTTCTGTTGCAGCGTTTAGATCACCCCTGATGAAGGCACTAGACAGGAGTGTCAAAACGTTGGGTCTATGAATTGTAACTTCTTCAGTTACATTCATTAAATCTGCAAAACAGAGTAGCATCAAACTATGCCAGATTTTGAGAGTTAACACTTTTCCGCTGTTACTTTAAATTCATTTTCCATGATTTGAAAAACATAACTTAAAATTTTGTACTGTGTGCTGTTTAGATTAGTAATGACAATACCTCTTGGTTGATTTAGTATCAAATTTAGTTTTTTTAATTTATTTGTCTTATGTTCTCAGGTTGTACACTCCAGATTCCAAGACTTAGTTCCTGTACATTTAAAAGATGAAGGTGATCCAGACTTAGAAAGACCATCAGAGGAAGATATTGAAGAGGTAAATTAACCTGCTTATAATGTGATCAAAACACATGGTGTTGTTCAGCGATACCTTCTTTGTAGCTCTGTGTTAGAGAATCTGTCTATTTTTGGTTGATGTTGTCATCAGAATAAAAAAATAGATAAGTGTTTTTTCCTCTCAAGAGAATTTCATGGAAATTTGTTTTTACTGACAACATTGTTAGCTATCTAATTCCTTTCTTGAGCATTCTCTCAATACTTTTTGGATTTATGAACTTATCTGCATTATTTCAAGGATCCCTTAATATCTTGTATTCTATTAACTTATTTTTTCTGAAATGAATTAACTTCAGACAACCAGGAAAACAAGAGAAGCTCTGGAAAAAGAAGTTACAACAAAAATTGCTGCAGCACAGCCCACCCAAGTTGCTCAGAAGCCACAGGCAGCCCAGTACATCAGATACACACCTTCCCAGCAAGGAGTAGCTTTCAACTCTGGTGCTAAACAGCGAGTCATAAGAATGGTGGAGATGCAGAAAGATCCTATGGAGCCACCAAGATTTAAGTATGGCAATTGAATAGGTTACAGATCATTTCTTACCAACAGTCATTTCATACTCAGTCAGTTGAGTCATTTTGTATCCAGCTCGGTTGTTTTGTTCCCAAACTAGTAAAGTATGTGTCCATGTTGACAACCAACGGAAAGTATTACACTTACACAAACTGTTGTTATTAAAATAGTCACAGGTATAAACAATAGACTTTTCTGTGAATAAGATCATGCTTACCTTGTGCTAGGCAATAATTAAGTTGTTTTGGTTAAGAGAGTCACAAGTACACATGTACACAAGACAATTTTGTTTGTTACTTCTCACTTGACTCTACTAACTTGTCATACACAATGATTGACATCTGTTCACGCACTCTTGTGTGAGGTATTTTGAAAGCATGTGTAAATTGACCAGGAGTTTGGGTACGAACCAACTTAAACTTGGGTTTCAAACCAACCCAAACTTGGGTATGAATCTACTGCATTTGGATAAAAAATGACGTTGGGTACAAAGTGACTGGATACCTTGAATACTGCTGTACTACAACATACTGAATCTTTAAGTTTTTTTTTTTCCCCAAAGTTGTGACTGTAAAGTTTGGATGAGTTATCTACATGTTCTTATTTTTCATTAACACTACCCTTTTCATCTACTTGAGAGAAAATTGACAGATTATCATCCAGTCTGCCCAATGATCAATCAGTTTCCAGACAAAGCTGATGACAAGTTTAAGATTGTCATAAGCATATTACTGTTGAAGAATTCTTGGAGCAGATTGCCTGGGAATTCACTCTAAGTCTTCTCTGCTCATCACTGATCTGCCGAATTATCTTCCCCTTGTAGCTTAAAAAAATTATTTAGAATTTTGATGGAAGGAAGGCTACTAAGAAAATGAAAGTACTTTGATGCACATCTGAACAGTAATCTTACACTTGTCTTGTATATTTTTAGAACAAACAAGAAGATCCCTAGGGGACCCCCCTCACCTCCTGCACCAGTAATGCACTCACCAAGCAGAAAGGTAAGGGAAAGTGCCCATCAAATGAACGTTCCTTCACAAATCCAGGAAGGCAGTATTCTTAAGAGTACTACTGAGACTTTTTAGGTGGATGTTGCCTGGGGAGTATCTTTCTAATTTGACGGCTTTGAAATTTTTAATGCAGGTGCAACAGATGAAACTAAAATTTTTCATTTGATTTTGTTGGGACAATTCTAGTTTTGTCCACTAGTGCGGAAAGGCCCAAAGATATATTAATAAGCTGTAGTGTTTCCACAGAATTGTCCTGTGTCCACTGGTTGTAAGGGAGTTTAGATTTAGTTGGAATTTTCGGCTGTTACTTGACAAATGCTACAATTAGTGTTTCTTTTCCTCAGGTGACTGTGAAAGAACAGCAGGAGTGGAAGATCCCTCCCTGTATTTCCAACTGGAAGAATGCCAAGGTAATTTGATTTGAGGACAATTTGAAAATGTACATAAAAAAAAAGAAATCGAGGGAAGGCTCTCTACAGAAAGTGCTTCTCTGAATCAAGGGCTACATATGGAAAATATGCATACTGATGTTAGGCTATAAAATGTTAAAGTATTTGTTTTGTTGTTGTTGGCTGTAGGGGTACACCATCCCTCTTGACAAACGTCTAGCCGCAGATGGGCGTGGTCTTCAAGACCCCCACATCAATGACAAGTTTGCAAAGTTGGCTGAAGCACTGTACATAGCAGACAGAAAGGTGAACTTTATTGAGAATGACTTGTAAAGGCCCAACACATGTACTTTATAACTCCTTTTAATATCACTCAACAATGAAATAACATTTGAAAATGTTTAGTTTCTTTTCTTGCCTCTAAACCAGAAAATCACATTTACCAATTATCTGGATAAATTTTGGTCATTATGAACTGTGGAAATTTGCTCCCATAAATCACAAAAAGTCACCAAAGTGCAGAATAATGTTTTACTTACCGGATCTTTCATGTCATGTGGTATTTTGCATCATTTTGGCTGAATTTTGGTAATTTCACTCAGTGGTTGCTAATTTTGTGCCCACACACGCAATTTTTAACAAGCCAGAGGAGGCAAGACTCCTATCACTGCACCAGATTATACGTTTTGAAACTAAAAAGGGGGAGAAGTCTGCACTGCAAGCTCACCCCAGTTTCTGTTGCATGTTGTTCTCAAAGCGAATAGCACTGATGCTACTCCCTCTCGGATGTTGATCCATTGCAAGGCTTCCCCCCTCCACCCTCAAGCATTTCGTCTGGTTTCTCTTAGAGGTCGTTGGTGCCGATTATGCCGCTGAGTGGAGAGAGAAACTTTGAGAGTAGAGTTCCTCATGACATCCTTATAATTTTATTGAGGATTGGCCATTGACTTGTACCATTGGCGCTATTGATCTTTTTGTTGTAAATAGCACTACGTACTGCAAGCAATAACTTTTTTTATTATCATTATTTTATTACCATTGTGTACCTTGAATATGACAGAGACACAGCGCATTGTGTTGAGAATAATTTGTTTGTTTGAAATTTCTGTCAGGCTCGGGAAGCTGTTGAAATGAGAGCTCAGCTGGAAAAGAAGGTTGCACAGCGAGAGAAGGAGAAGAAAGAGCAGAAGTTGGCGGCGCTGGCCAAGCAAGCGAGGGAAGAACGAGCTGGCATCAGAGCTACTGCAGGTAAATCGTGCAGTTTTCAAAACAAACCGAGGGGCGTATTTTAGCTGTAAAGTCCAGTTATTTCACACTGCAATTACAGCGCAACTCCTGTTGGTTCACCGTGAATACGTAAAATCGAGTTACGCGTCTGTTAAAATCCTACTCGTAGGAATGCCCGGAAAGGTTTGTGCGATATAATTGCCGAGAGAAAGAAAGAGGCAAACGTTCCAAGTTTTTAAATTCTTTCTTTTTTAAAACCACTGGTGGTGAGCTTACAGTAGTAACTACAAGCAGTTTTCTTCTTGCGAATAGGATCTCAATGGACGATGGACCCTAGAGAAATAAAGTTTGAATACAGTAAAATAAAATGACGAAGGATAAAGAAATATTGGAAATCTCTATCATAAAAAAGGGATTAAACAAAACTAGGTTCTAGCTGATGTGGGATGATCTAAATTCAAAACAAGTTCCATTTATAAATTGGTTTGTAATCATTGAACACCTCTCGTCGCAAGTGAAGTGATCTTTATGCGTCTCCTCTAACAAAATTGCTGTCCTGTTTAAAACCCGTATTTTAGAGCGATCTGGAGAGGAGAGAGAAAGGGACCAGCTTCGTCATGAACGACACAAGGAGAGAGAAAGAGATCGTAGAATCTCTAAAGCTGCACCTGATAAAAGGTACCTAAAGGAACTAGATTAAGAAGTTGAGCTCGGTAATGAAATGGAGAAAGATTCTTTTCTTCTTCTCGCGCGTGTGAGACAAAGAAAACTTTTTGTGTTGTATTTACGCACATGATGCTTTCGACGTCAGGATCCTTGTTATATATGAACGTAGTATTGGTCTGACTCACCCATAGAGAGTCTCTGTGGCTCAATGGAAGAGTACTGCTTCGGAGCGCGGAATCCAAAGACCTGAGCTACGATTCCTCATAGGAAGTCAGGTTTTTTTTTTCCACGTTTTTTATAGGACGAAAAAAATACCTTAGCTAAGGTGAAATAACTTTCCACATGCTCTCCATATCTACTTTTATTTAAAGTAAAATGTTTTTTATCTTGACTATAGCAAAGCTTGATCACCACCCATATACTGTAATTTACTCTTATTTCCTTGGAGTGGCTGAAGCCGTATACTATGCAAAAACTCTGCTTGTCGTTCAAAATAGACATTGATTAGGATATTCACATCAGTGGTAACGGTAGATCTTTGCGCACTTACATGGAATGACTGATTGTTCCTATAGGTCCAAACTTCAGCGTGACAAAGAGCGCGACATAAGTGAGCAGATTGCATTAGGCCTGGCTTCTGCTCCTCCCTCACAGGAAGCAATGTTTGATCAGCGATTATTTAATCAAAGCAAGGTAAGTCACTACAGTTAATGTCACAATTATGCGTCTTTTTCGTATTATTTCAAGGGCATATCTAGGTGACGCGTGCAGAGGTGTACACCCCCCTCCCCCTCGAATTGACCTGCGGCTCTCCTATATGCATACAAATGGTTTTTACAAAATCTGCTGTATTATTTGTAATGTACTATCAGTAGTTCAAGTTGTGGTATTGCCTGGTCACCCTTTAATTACGTCATACCTTATTGATGCACCCCCATCGAAGGAAGATCCTGAATCTGCCGCCGTATCCCTTTCCCCCCACCCCCTACCTGCTTACCGATCCAATTGTATTTAGTTCCTAACCCTCCCCCTTCCACCACTCTTTGACATTCTTGTGCCTTGTCCGTTAGGGCCTGGACTCCGGATTCGCTGGAGATGACGATGGATACAATGTGTACGACAAGGCCTGGAGACGAGAGGGCAGCACAGCCAATGCAATCTATAGGCCGAGCAAGAATGTGGACCGCGATGTTTATGGAGATGATCTGGAAAAACTGGTTCAAACAAGCAGGTAATTAACTGCGATAACCAAGAACCGAGCACTGTGGGACTTTCTTCTGCCCCTAGTTATATTCCCTTTGAGATTATTGTCAAGGTAGAGTGTTAAAAAAATTTTTTTCATATTTTTTATACTTTTAGTTTGGCTTCGATTAAAGTATTTAGTTGAAAAATCAAAAAACGGTAATAGATTATTATTTACAATTTGATGAGCTTTTTTCATTATGTACAGTGCTATGTGGCGAAATAGATGCTTGAAAATATTAAAAAACATTGTTCCGAAGAATGCAGAAATGTTCTGTCCTTTCGCTAATTTTGAGAGTAGTTTTTCAATTGAACAACGAGGGACTTATTGCTTAGCTTTTTTACTCCCAAGATCTCTTTAGTAATTCTCCTTACTGTCAGCTTTACAATTCTGATGATGTTACTTCGGAGAATTTGGTATTGGATCAACTAATAATATATATTTTTGCTTATTCTCATCACTTGTCTGGTTGATATTGGATTGACTTTGTAAGGTGAAATTGAAGAGGAGTTAAAGGATTAAGATGAGATGGTTTGGCTGTTACATTCCTCCCACTTTCACGGCTGTTTTACAAATTGTTCTTATATCATGTAATCGGCACTTTCCTGTTTTTCAGGTTTCAGCCTGACAAGGGATTTGCTGGCACAGATCGTGGTCAGCGGCGTGACGGGCCAGTTCAGTTCGAAAAGGAAGAGGAGGATCCTTTTGGTTTGGACAAGTTTCTTACAGAGGCTAAAAAAGGAAAGAGGCCGTTAGACGAACCCTCCAGATCAAGGTATTATATACCTCACACTCTGATGATAATCGATCGTTTAATTTGTGTGTAAACAGAACTAGAAAGATCGTAGTTTTGGCGCGCCATCTTTTTGGCCGCCATCTTTGATTTAAATGGCAGAGGAAGGCTGGAGAGAGAA